CCTCTACTTTCATAAATATTAATCAGCAAAAGTAACATTAACAAGTGGGCTAGAATTTGACACCACAAAGCTGATTCTTCAACAGCTAACAACTCAGACATGGTTTTATATATACCTCCCGAGAGAGATTTTATTAAATTTTTTGAAGGATTTTATTAAATTCTTGGACATTTTCTGTTTCCAGAAAAATTTATGCGATGTCACTCACCTCATAAGTTACAGTTCCCCCGGATGTGGCCTGTTGGCGAAGGGTCACATTGGATATGGCACCATTTGCGGACAAGATACAAACAGCCCTTGGACCATGCTGAGAAAATGACATAATCTTCGACGATACATCCTTCAAGGAAATAAAATAAAAGTCAACCACCAATTACAAGATAAACTATGTGCTAATAATCATAAGTTTAACAACAAAATATTACCAATATAAGAAGTTGGAAAGAAAAGCAAGCTGTTTTCTACGAGGAAAGAAACACTACGAAAGCTGAAGTATCAACGACATGAGTTATGATTAAGATGTCAGAAACACGATCATTTGACATATAAGCAATCTTAACAAGTTCAGCACTTTCCAAATCCTCACCTCTCGTATCAATGGCACAAGGACGATAAACAATCTCATATCAGTAGCACTTATTCACCATATATCTCACCCACTAAAGCAATTTGATTTCCTTAAAAGTCACTAATTACCAACTAAACTTGAACGATCATTATGGAGCTAGTTCGAATTACCTTCCCCTAAAGCTGTCCACTTTAAGTAGTTCACTATTTTCCTTCTAAGCTACATGCTTGCAGTCTATGCATTGATTGATCAACTACTAAAAGAACTTCTAACTGGGATACACAATTATTATTATATTCAAATTTATAAGCATGCCAGCATTTCTGCTCTCATTCTATGGCCTTCGGGGTAGAGCAGGTCGATTTTCCTAATATAACATCTCGATGTTTCTTAGGTCATATAAAATTTGTCACACTCCATAGTGACTCAGGAACACAAGAAATCTGATGCCGGGACTGAGTAAAGTAACCAGCTTTCTGAGGTAAAAAATCAAAATATGGACAAGCAATCCATGCTTCAATCATCAAAGTTAAGTTAATCGCCAACTGATATGGATATGCCAAATAATGTTATGGTAATGCCTTGGATAAAAAAAAAAAAAAAAAAGGGATTACAGTGATCATGGTGAGTTGCAAACAACAACTAAGATTTACCTGCCAGAAGCAGAAAGAGTTAAAAATGGAAAAGAAAAGAAAGTATAATATAAAGGAAAAATGGAAACCTCCCCAGCTTTCACAGTGATCACATGTGGCGTGAATCCAATCCCAGCTGATCCTGCAAAAAGAAACACATGAATATACAGAAAATATTCGTGTAAATACAGCAAGAAATATACAAAATAAAAATATTGAGAATTTTAAACATAAGCCCCCCACCCCAGAAAAAAAAATAGTACAAAAGAATCATGCAGGCTGGAGGCATTCGGCAATCAGCATCGAACAAATTTCTCTTATTCTCTAAGACGATATAGCATGAAGCTGCATCATCTTTTTGGTTAAGTTTCGTACGTGTATGTGTTGCATGAGACTGAATTTTATAGGAATTTGATTGGTCTTATTCAATTAAAAATTCAGCACCCATATTTTTACAGGAAAATAATAAATTTATTTTCATTCAAAAAAATTTATTTTCATTCAAAAAATTCAAAAAGGGGCATAAGAGTAATTCTTGGAAATAAGAATCCCATGTCAGATGAGCCCTTTTGTATTTCACACCCCCGGTATCCAGTAGCCACAGTTCAATATTCCTTTTTCTTTACTTGTTGCACCTCAGCAACAGCAAAACCAATAACTATTCTATCTCATGTCCTGTGTGCCTCACAACTCTACCACACGCTCCTCCTCCTCCTCCTCCTCCGCCGCCGCCGACTGTAACTTGTTACCTCTATAAAACATTCATTCCGACCACCCCACGTCACTGACACTTATGTTGACACCGCCCATATTTCATAATTTTCAATTTTTCATAATGATGAAAAGAAAAACAAATTGATTTTTATAAAAATAAATAAATATAATAAAATACAAATTAACAAACTATACATGTGTGTGTGCCTATGTTTGTGTGCATATATAGACCCAAAAATATATGGGTCATTGGTCGTTACCGAGAGCATCAAGTTGCTGTCTTTTGCTAGAACCAGGAGGTCTGCCTCTGGCTTTCTTTACCCCAGTAGGCGACACTGTTCCTCCGAGAGCAACAGCAGGACCAGCGACACCAAAATCAGACCCAGGAGAAGGAGTAGGAACAAGAGGCTGAACCTGAGCCTGCGCTGGAGGAGAAGAGAGACCAGAACTTGTTAGAGGGGTTACAGCAACAGACTGAGGTGCAGACGCAATAGCCAATGCCATAGTGCCATCTGGCCCATACTTCCTTGGTCTACCTCTCTTTCTTTTCATTGGATCTCCTCCACTCCCTCCTACATTAATCCAATGAGGAGATACCGAGGCCCCAACAGCCGATCCTTCCACCCCACCAGGCTGATAGGTAGGTGACGCCACCGTAGTGTTAGTAGCAGTGGTTATCGGTTTGTAAACAGCAGCACCGTCAGCAGTGAAGGTTAAACGCATGTTTTGTATGACCGGCGGTGACGGTACCTCAGTTTTATGTTGCAGTCCTGTCACACTAAAGGGGTCTCTGCTTGTCATCACCCCTGTCTCCGACCCCGACATCTTCAGGTCTACTAAGTTTTCAGACAACCTCTGTACTTAAAAAAATCACTTTCAGATCACTAAAAAAAACCTCAAGATTCACACTCTTTAAATTTCAAAAATTTGTTGCTCCCAACTGAACCGTGCAAGAGAGGAGCAAGGAAGTTTTTTTTTTTCTTTTCCCTTGTGGCAAGAGATCATTAATTTGTCTTAAATTGTAAGAAAAGAATTAAAAAATAAATAAATAAACTGGAAACAGAAGAATCCGCGTAAATCTAGGGGACATAAATCTAGACAAGAATCTAGTAAACCCATAAGAGAAAAAAATAATAACAACTGTTAGAACAGAAAATAGGAATCCTTTTTTGAGAAGAAAATCTGAAAAGGAGAGTATTTTGCGTAAAGGAAGGAAAGACAGAGAGAGAGGAAACTTTATTATTATTTTTTTTTTTTTTTTATTTTTTTTTTTATATATATATATATAAAAGAGAGGTAAAAACTAAAAAGAAGGCCTAAATTTGCTTCCGTGATTATTATTTTATTTCCTATATTACCCTCCCTCTCTTTCAATATTAGCCTTTGCTCTCTGGAGTGTTAAATTGTTGTGCACGCATCCACGTGTCGATCAGAATTTAAAAGAAACCCTTAGTTGTGCAAGTGAGTCAATTCCTAGCGAGTATTGGGTTCATTCCTACTCGAGGAATGTTATGGCATGGAAGTTACGACAATTTTGCATCAATTTTTTTTTTTTTAATATTATCTTCAACTCATAATGTATAAAATTTAATTATTGTTATTTGGACCTTTGTACAAATGGATGGATTGGTGGAACGTCTATTCTCCTCCTCTCTTGAATCCTCACAAAAATCCCACTTGTTTCACAGTAAATAAAAGGAGTAAGTTGATTTTGTCCCCTTATTAAGAATTTAGATTGATTTGTGACTCTTAAATTTGATTAAAAACTTATTATTATTTAAAAAATAATAATAAAAATAGAATAACCCTAAACCCTAACAAATAATCTTAACCCTGCTTTGATTCGATGCCAGGTTAAGTTTAATAATTGTGATGGGAAAGGCTTGGCAGTTTTACAATACTGAGGGAGATGGCCCATGAACTGTATTTTTTGAAGCTTTTGGTTTGAATTTCTTTAATTCTTATAACAAGTAGTAATCAATGGCTAAGGTTATTTGTTACTTAATATAATCGGAAGGTTTTGCTTTTATCATTGATATGTTGACGTAATTGAATAGAATCCTAATCCGCAATTTAATGTTGCTGATAATTAAAATTAAAACCTTCTTGAGAAAATTAACATGGGCTGAAGATGGGTCTTACGTCACTTGTTAAACATAATTATAATGTAAAAGCCATTAAACATGTCCCAACTCAAAATCTAAAATCTAAATCACCAGTTTTAATTACATAAGTTATCATATAATTTAATTTGAAATTTAATTAAAATCATGTTTTAATTGGTGAATCATCAAGTTAACTTGAAGGTTGAGTTAAAAACAAAGTGATGAAAAATTATTCATAAAAAAAAAGAAGATAAATTAAAGAATAAATTATTATTATTATTATTATTATTATTATTA